GAAGGGGTCATGCCCTGGCAGTCCGAGACCAGCTCCGAGAGTCTAACTTCACCGGAGCTGGCCTGGGCTCGGCATCGACAAGAACATTTACTAAGAATTTGCATATGTTTGGCACTGTGCTTAGTGATAATAGTTTCACGTATATTATCTCATTTAATTGTAGATGAGGAAATGAGGATTATTGGGAGCTCTCAGACTTCACTTCTAAAAATTTTTCACTCTTTCCATTCTGCTCTTTTGTATTCAGAGTCCCCTTTTTGCCTTTATGGCTTTTTAAACCTTGGACCCTCATTCTGACAACTGGGGTATTGAGTCTGTCACTGAATATTTACTTAGCCTTCCCTGAGCTAGGGCAGTCAGTGTCATAATATTAACACCTTTCATCCCCTGTGGTATGCAGAGATAATCAGTAAATTCTTAATGGCTCTAAGTTCAGAAAGATTTCTTACAGAAATTAGTTGAATATTATTATACGTTTCTTTGGCTTCTGTTTTGCATGCAAATAAAAGAAAGTGCTCAGGGCATTGGGGTCTTCTCTAGAAGACCAAGGGTCTGTGCTGATTTAGGACATAAATCCTCTTATTTTCTACCTCCCAACTGGTTACCAGTAGCTCAGCACAGTGCCTGGCATGGGGCATGTGTAGGGAGGTCGTAAGATGCCTATTCCTTTTCCCAGTCCCCATATTCTCTATATTCCAGCATGTCTGGAAGGCTATGTCCATATGAAGGGTTTTAGATAGGCATGGGAGTGATAATCTCAAAGATGCATTGTAGAAGAATCAATCAGGAAAGAGTACAGAAAGCCTGATTGGACATTCTTAGTTGACTTATCTTTGGACATCTAAGAGGAGGCACTTAAAGAGTGGTCGGATACTTGACCTGGAACTCATAAAAGAGAAATGGAAAGGAGTTAAGGTCATATATTTGGAAGTCCTCAGCACTAGATGGTAACTGGAGCCGTGAGAAGAGGATAGGATCAGCCAAGAGGCGATAAAGAGTAAGAAAATGGTCAAAGACAGTAGATCTCTGGAAGATGTCATATGTTTAATGAACAAGTGAAGAAGGAGAACCAGCCAAAGAGGAGGAAGGAAAATCAAGAGAGAATAGTGTTTCAGAAACAAGAGAACAAATGAGGAAGGAGTGGTCAAATGGTGTAAAATGCCCAAAATGGTTCATCGGCATTAACAACAAAGAGGGTATTGTTCCTCATGGTGGGACCAGTTTCAGTAGAATGGAGCAAGCAGAATGCATAGTGTATTGGGTTAAGAAGTAAGGAACTAGGCTGGGCGCGGTGGCTTACACCTGTAATCCCAGCACTTTGGGAGGCCGAGACAGGCGGATCATGAGGTCAGGAGATCAAGACCATCCTGGCCAACATGGTGAAATCCCAACTCTACTAAAAATACAAAAAAAAAATTAGCTGGACGTGGTGGCACGCGCCTGTAGTCCTATCTACTCGGGAGTCTAAGGCAAGAGAATCACTTGAACCCAGGAGGCAGAGGTTTCAGTGAGCTGAAATCGCGCCACTGCACTTCAGCCTAGCAACAGAGAGACTCCATCTCAAAAAAAAAAAAGCTTCTTTTCTAAGACTTTCTCTCACTGCTAGAAAGAGCACGAGTATATTTTGTTATACCATGTATTCTGATTTTTTGGTTTAAGAGTATGGCCACCATAGTCTCTGGGCAGCCTGTGAACCCAAAGAATTAGGTGATTTATGGAGAGGGAGAGGACATGAGAGGTTTCCAGGATGCTGTCTACATTTAAGATTACAAGCAATAAGATTTGAAAAAACATCTTCCTTTATTCTTGGATTTTTAAAAAACTAGAAATGAGTTTCTTATGATGGCAAAGAAGAGGAAACTATTCTGTCATTTTATAGTGCTCAGGGCTCTATGTTTGATCTTCCTAGTAGGCTTTAAGTGGACAGTATTAGCTCCAATAGTAAAAAAGCAAATAGGCTCAGAGAGGATTTGCCCACCTGATCATCCAACTGGTACGTGGTAAAGTCACTTTATGATTATTTAAACTATATTTTCTTCATGATACCCAAAGGGATGTGGACAGCAAAAATTTCTCCCTCTGGAACAGGATATATCAGCCTGGGGTTCATGAGAGAGAGGGAGAGTGATCCACTTGGGATCACAGTTAATATGTGATTCCCTAGCTAGAAGAAGGCAGGCCACCATTTGGGAAAGAATTGATAAAACATACAAAATGAAACAAAGTTATAACCAAAAAAGGTATCATGCAAGGTTAAAATTATGTGAATAATGATGTGTATTAGTTAGTTTAATGTCTTCCAAGTGCATTTCATTTTGAATGATATACTCAGATAGCACACATGGTAAGGTATAATTGAAAAAACATGTAGGGGAATGGCTGCATTCAAAGAATAAACATACAGCTGCGAGGAGGTTAGGAGTCAAAGGGGTAAGCATATGCCCCATCCCCCAGGGATCTCATTAGTGCATGAGTGGCCATATATGTAGAGGCTAAATGAATCTCACTGTTTGCAAAGACCTGCAGTAAATGAGACAATGACGAATCAATAATAATTAGCCCTATAAGTTCTTATTGACCCAGATGTCTGAAACCAAATGCCCTGCTCAGAGATTCCTTGAGAGGCAGAATGAAAAGATTTATAGACATGTGTTTCCAAAAAAAAACCCTTGGCTTTAAGAGCAGTGGCTATTCTAAAGTGGAAAGTCGCAAGAATTAGTGCAGACTCTTGACTTCTGGCTAGAAAAGATGTTCTCAAGGCTTGTCTTGTGAATGTGATTCCCATTGGACCAGGAGCAGAGAGAGCGAAGAGATGGAGAACCAGGAGGTTATCATATTCACGTTCCCTGATATGTTGTTCTGGCTCTACCTTGTATGGAAGCTTCGGAGGATCCTTTCCTGAAGCCATAATAGAATCATTCTAAAACAGGGTTTGAGTTTTTCAGGCTTTGATGAACAATTTCTGACCTAAGATACAGAGAGCCCATGGCTTCAGAATCACAAGGAGAAGGGTTTAAAGGTGGACTCAGACCTGTCTCTTCACCTCTTGAAGCATCTCCTCTGTAAAGGGATGTTAGTGATACCTCCCCCACTGGGCAGTGCTGGGAGGTCTGGTATATACTTAGGGAATGGCAGCTGGTGTTAACTGTAGTTGTTAAGCCTTTTCCCAGTAATATCTTATTCCTGCCAATATGATCTAAGAAAGAAGATTTTTGCAGATGAGAATGAGCTGTTACAGCAAGAAGCAAATAAACTGTTGGTAGGTAGGGCGGTAGGGCTGCCCTCACCTCCACCCTAGCACACATCACACGCACTCACACACGCACATATACATGCATTCACATTGACACACTCAAGCTCACACAGAGCAGCTTTGCTTTTCTATATTTTTACATTGAATATTTACACAAACTTTTTGTTTAATAAAGGAGTTCTACTGATAAAGGGGTAAAAAGAAAATTTAAAAATTGCTGCTCTACTCATTGGTTTGTTTCCCTACACCAAGTACAGGAAACTTTTGGCAACTTCATGGGATCCATGGGGACACCCACCCAATCACAAACTAGAACTAGAAATCGCTGAGCCTTCCTTCTAGAACACTTTTTAAATGCAAAACAAATAATGCCTTAGGTATCTTAGATATTAACCTCCTTTGGACATTGATTTCCTATCCTTTTTTTTCTGCCATTATACAAGCCATGTTTTTAACCTTTAAAGAGATTTCCAAGGACCCCAGTGGGAAGTAGCACAGATGCCAACTGCTGCAATATCCACTTTCTTTTGAAATCATTGGTTCAGAACTTTTAGAAAGCAGCATCTTTTAAGAGGGAAAGGCTGACCAGCTTTAATCTTTGTGCCGTGTGGTGTGATTTAACCCAGCGAGGGAGGTGTTATTAAACCTATTTTATGAGTGGGAAAATTGGAGGTCAGAGAGGTTAAGTCACTGGCCCATTTTACCGCGCGAGGAGAGGTAGTACCAAGATCTGAACCGAATAGTGCTCTCACACCCATCATCTTCTCTCCACTTCCTCTTCACCTGAACATGTAGAGAATGAAGGAGCTGGTCTGACTCCCTCATTCTACACATGAAGAAACGGAGACTTAAAAAGAAGAAAAGAGCCAGGCACGGTGGCTCACACCTATAATCCCAGCACTTTGGGAGGCCGAGGCTTGTGGATCACCTGAGGTCAGGAGTTTGACACTAGCCTCGCCAACATGGTGAAACCCCTACTAAAAGTACAAAAATTAGCTGGGCAGGGAGGCTGAGGCAGGAGACTCGCTTGAATCTGGGAGGCGGAGATGGCAGTGAGCCGAGATCACGCCATTGCACTTCCACCTGGGCAACAAGAGTGAAACTCTGTCTCAAAAAGAAAAAAAAGAAAAAAGAAAAAACGTACACAATGTCATCTGGTGGGTTTAGGTTGAAAATCAGGTCTCTAACTCCTGATCCTAACTGCATTTAAAACATTCAGTCACTTTCCTTAGCAAAATCCTATCCTGAGTCTGGGAACTTATATTTCTCTCCATTTATCAACTCATCATCATTATTACAATTAGGAATACTGATTTTAATAAATTATTGACATATGTACAGTACTGTACAGTTTACAAAATACCATGCCTTCACATACATAATCTTCTTTGATCTTCACAATAACCCTATGAGGTAAGTTGGATAGGGATTATGATATCTGTTTTTACAGATGAGAAGAGGGTGGTTCAGAAAGTTTGAATAACTTTCTCATGGCCATGCACCTACTAAGAGTAAAGCCATTGCTGAATCCAGTCTTCTGACTCCAAACCTTTCTACTAGGATGGGCACCTTTCTTGGTGATACTACAGTGTGATTTGAGAGTGCAGTGGGCTGGCTTCTCTGAAGCTTTTAGAAGCCTGCTTACCTTCCTGAAACTGATACGGAAGTACAAATGGTTTATTTCTATCGAAAGATTTGCTCCCTGACCCTATCCCCCTTTTAAAAATAAAATTCACTTCTCTTCCAGATGCCAGAGTGTATATGCATATCTGAACAGTCACCTGGATCTGATTAAGAAGGCTCAGCCTGTGGGTTTCCTTACTGTTGATTTACATGTTTGGCCAGATTTCCATGGCAACCGGTCTCCCTTAGCAGATCTGACACTAAAGGGCATGGTAAGTAACAGCTAGTCCTTGCACGTGGGTGAAGGCAGGCCAAAGGGCTATACAGTTTGGAAGAAGGAAAGTGAGGAAAAAGGAAAAGAAAAAAATAAAACAGGCCAACAGCCCACTGGCTTTGTGCAGATGCATTACTGTTGCTGCTCCCTGGGATGAGCTGCTGAAAGTTTTCATTGTTTCTGAGCCAACCTTGAAAGCGTTAAAAGCAGCATTTCCTAGTTCAGCTACTGCTGCCTCTTTGTCCTGTGGAATGGCTAAAAGTCATGCCTATGTAATTTTGGCATTTACATCAGTCTGTAAAGTCATATTTTCCAACTGCATCTTTAGGTTGCCCAGTAAATCAGTAGTAAATATTACCACCCATGGTCTTGCTGGCCACAGCCACACATCTGCCTAGGCTCTGAGTCAGGGCTATTCAGAGTCTACACTAATATAGTTAGGATTTCAGATTAAACTTTGGTATAAGTGAATACAATTTATAACTTATGTTGGAGAATAAATCCCGCTGTTAGTGCCCTTTAGGGTCTCTTCCTCTGTGGATATTCTAGGCCCTCCTAGAGGGGCCAGATGAACTTGGTGGGAGAGCTCTCAACCACCCCAGTTGAGATGTAAAAGTAACAACATCTTAGACACCAGGAGAATCATGTTTGAGGTGTGATGAAACAGGTTAAAGCTAGAGGAGGGGCCAGGTGAGGCCACAAATAAGAAAATAAGCCATGAATACAGGAACCAGGAAAATGTCGTAAAGCTGAGAAGGTGAGTGTGAGGTACGTTAAGGCAGAGTTCAGAATGGAGGCTGTAAACAAGGCAAGGCTATGCAAAGGAAGCTGCATAATAGTGGAGCAGGCCTGATGGAATCAAGAATTCAAGACTCAAACTACTACAGTTTTATGGTTAGTTTCACTGAGATTGTTTTAAATACTTTTATGATGCCAGCAGGAAGACCTGAACTTTATTTTCATTACCTAGCTGACATGATCAACTTCTAGTACTAAAAGGGAGGCATGGTGAAAAGAAAAGAAAATTAGACATGGCAAAGGTTATGTTGATCTCGAGTCCGTGAAGCATTCCCACACAACAAATCATGAGCTTGGTGTCCTTATTTATAGAGGCAGGAGAAGAATGTCCAGAGAGGGCCATGTGGCAACAGGCCGCAACTAGAAAGCCACACTTTCAGATAACCAACTCTGTCTGTAAACAGGGGGTAGGGGAAGAACACATTTCATATGGGTACAGAAATAAGTGTCTTAATTAGAGACAAATATCTGAAGCCAAGCTAAATAGGGTTAGATACTTAAAATGTTAAAGCAGTTAAGAAACTTGACCAGTGTTTTAAATGACCCCAAAATAAAGCAGTGTTGCATAGTAAAATGGTCATTGCTCTGGAGGTCATATGTAGCTTTAGATAAAACTGACCTGGGGGGGCCTTCCCTCGCCAATATCTGTCATACCCAAATTCAGTACCCAGCATGTCAGGCTTCATGTCTCCCAGTAGCTTTTATCCAGTTCTTAAAACCAATCCTGACATCCAAGACCTAAGAATTATCATCAGAAAGATATTCTAATAAAGTTGACCCAGATATAGAATGAAATTCCAAAGAAATCAATGGAGTGTTCTGAAGAATTCTCATAACATGAGAATAAGTGTGTATGCACCAAAAGGAATTTCTTACATGGGGACATATGCCCAGTTGTATCTAAAAATCCTGGGTACGTTTACTTTTTTAAAAACTTGTACGTTTGTTCACATACCTCATATATTACTTGATAGTTCTTGGCAATGATTTCCCTTTATAACTGTCCTTGGGTTAGGCTACAGTGGAATAGCTATCACTCCATGAATTTGCATCATAACACTGGAAGGAGAAGATGACCTAAATAAGATAGAAGGAAGGCAATTCTGAGCTAAATACTTCACCCCAAATCTCCTTCCTTCAGTCTAGTTTTGGAAAACATCAAAATAGTGACCCTGAAATTCTTCTCTTATCATGTTATGTCCTTTTGCTGGAAACTATAATGATGCCTATCTCCAGCACTCATTCAGCAAATATTAATTGGGTCCCTAGTGTGTGCGAGGCACTGCTGTAGATATGAGTAAGGTGCAACAATACCTACCTTCATAGAGCATGTTTAAGGTTGGGGGTGGGGCAGTGCTTGAGAAAATGTTAATAGGATCTAGAATTGCAGGATAATTCCAATAAAGCAAGATCCATGTACAATTTCTTCTTTTGACCCCTAAAACGTTTCCCTGGACACATAGTAAGCGCTCAGTATATATTTATTTATAATTTATAGGCAATATGGAGATAATAAAGAGGTGATTTGTTGCTTTAGATAAAACAAACGTATGAAGAATTTACTAATACCAAATGAATTAAATGGCTACTGACACTGACTATCCATATGGTAAGTATTTAATACTAATATTAATATCCAAGTAAATAAAGATAAGCTCCCATTGTATCATAATTATGAGAATGTTTGTTCATCAAACAAATACAGGCCCTATTACAGTTGGTGGGGGATATGAGTAACTAGACACAATGCCAGCCCTCAGGAATATCACGAACTTTGGGAGGCAGACAGAATATATAAACAGGGAATGGAAAGGTGGTATTAAGCTCCAGGTGTCCTTCACTGTCCAGAGCTCTCCAAATGCATGGAAGACGTTTGCCCAACCTGGTCCCAGCGGTCAGGAAAGCTCCAGACGGGAAGTAACATTGACACTGAGTGAAGCTGGGAAGGGGGTTTGAGGCCAAGGGAATCATAGTATGTGCAGTATTCTAGCGGGAAGAGAGCATGGCATGAATGTCTACAATTTTGGCTCCTTGTATCATTGTCTAACCAATGATAGATTCCCTTTAGCATTTTATCTTAATAATATAAAAAGAAAATGTTTTCTCGGAAAACCACTGGATATCTGTATATTCTTGCTTCGGCAGCATTACACTCTTCCAGTTCTCTACTCTCCCCTCAGGTGACTCTTTTCTTGCGTTGTTAAACATTTACCCATTCACTGTGTTTTTATTGAATACCTGCTGTGTGCAGGCCTATGCTAAACTCAGGTAATACAGAGAAAAAAGAAAAGTACCTGTCCTAAGTTCACATAAAAGTAGGGGAGGTAACTATTGTACATGTGTGTATGTGTGTATATAATTATTTTACAGTGTGATCTCTAATAATCAGTGCAAGCTGAAGGAGCTCAGTACATGTCTGACTTTGGAATTGTTTTCATGTAGCACTGGGCTGGCAAACCCTGATGCAGCCTTTTTCTGTTTCTCTTGAAAATATTTGTAAAAATGCAAAAAAGTCATGGACTCATGCAGGCCTTAGGAATTAGGATGGTGTTCAACTAGGAAAACTAGAATTGATATTCCCAAAGAAAATCTGCGAGGATTTTCTAGAATTTAAATGATGAATGCAACTTGTTTGATAACATCATATATGACATAAGGACAAAGTCATGCGTGACCCACCATGGAAAGAATTTGGACCTTGCCACCTTCTGCTCCCTAGCATAAAAGCACAAGGTTCTTTTAAACCTAAAAACAGCACAGCTATCCCTCGACTTTACTGCTGATGGTTGGGTTTTTTGTTCTGTTTTTGGAAAGCAGCCAGTGAGTTTAAATTCCTAGATCCCCCCACGACCCTGTTCCCAGCCACCCTTTCAGTTCATTCCATTTGAAAACTGCCAGCCCAAGAATCCACCCAAGCAGGAAGTGTGAATTAGGAGGAATGGTGATGGCTTGCATTCTAAGCATCTGTTAATGGGGCAGATGTAGGAAAAGTCTTAGTAGTTCTGTAAACTTGGGAGGAAAGGTGTACTTTGCACTACTAGTTCTAGGCTTGGAAAGCCAGGTAGTGCTGATCTACCTCAGTCCAGCAAAGCTACAGAAAATAAAAACTGCTGTACTCTGCCAATTGGCATTTAGCTATAGATCTGAAGAGACAAATTCAAGTATACAGTGAGTGGGGATAAGAGCAAATCACATGTGCTGTGTGCTGGAAAATACTGAACGTGTGTACCTGTCTAGTTAATGTTGAAATATAATAACCCCATAGAAAAACTATTACATACAAAGAAAAAGAAATACCATTGTGAACACTTAAAGGAAAGCCCTCTTGAAAATTATTTACTACTGAAACCAAATGAAAATGTTAGAGAACTTTGTGATATATTCAATACAATATTTTTAATTTTTTTTTTAAGAGACAGGATCTTGCTCTCTGTCACTCAGACTGGAATGCAGTGGTGCAGCGGCCTAATCAGAGCCCACTGTAACCTTGGACTTCTGAACTCAAGCAATCCTCTCATCTCAGCCTCCCAAGTAGCTAAGACTACACAGACACATGTCAGCATGCCCAGCTAATTTTTAAAAATTTTTTTGTAGAGATGGGGTCTCACTGTGTTGTCAAGGCTGGTCTCAAACTCCTGGGCTCAGGCTGTCTTCCCACTTCAGTCTCCCAAAGTGTTGAGATTATAGGCATGAACCACTGTTCCCAGCCAGAATTTTTGTTTCAAGGCATATCTCTATGAAATAGGCCAGAAACTTATTAGGAAAGAATGAGTTAAGATGAAAGGACAATGGAATGAGAAGAAAGGGGAAATGGCAAAGACCACAAGACAACTAAAAATGCAATCAAAGAATTAAAACCTACATTGAAAGCAATAGGGAGTATAATTTTCACTGAAGAAAATAAGATCAAGGCTGTCATAAGACATAGCATATGTTTTCAATTTACTCTATAGGAAAAACATTTTGAGGATAGGAGCGACGGCTTATTTACTTTTTAAAATCTCAACAGTTCTTAGGTCAGAAGCTGGCACCAAATAATTGCCTTATGGTCAAACAGTTCTTTCAATCACTGTTCGCCAAATGAGGAATGAACAGTGACCTGCTCAAGGTTGCAAAGCCAAGAAGTGGCAGAGCTTGCCTTTTAGGATATGCACCCCATCCTTTTAGGATACAAACTCTGGACTTTGCAAAACGCTTGGA